AAGGTATACTTGTTTTAGAAAGCATCAGGCATATTCCTGCCTACGACATTCTGGCATTAACATAAATTATACAATATATATAATATTTCGTAAATAGATGGAACATAACATTCTCTTATGAATGATCTATTCCAGTTCGTTTTAATTAGAAGCATTTGAATAACATGGGTCCGATTTCATAAAGATGAGATGAACAATTTAAGGTTCAAAGCTTTACTAATTAAAGAATCATATAATGAAAATTTTTAGTATTTTCCTAAATAATTATTAGTTATTTGTATAAAATTGTATTCAAATTGCTTCAATGGAAACAAAACTGAGCTGTTTATGCAATTTCCATTTGGTTTGAATTCTCGTTTCAAACTGATTCTACAAGAAAATAATTGTCGTTTTGCTATTTGTACACCCATAACAGCTAATGCATGCAGTTTCCTTGATCGTGACGGAAATTCATAACTTGTTCTTGTTTTAATTCGAGAAATAGAAGAAAAAACAACAACATAGGCTTACATCATACATTTTCATTTATATTTATGCCCTGTGTGCACAATGTAACGGAAATCAAATACATTCATACCTCTGCTAAAGTTACCTCTGATAACTAAGTCTTAGTCAAGATAAATAATGCCCAATTTAGTTGAACTAGAATAAGATACCCAGGTGGCTCAATCAAGGCATCTCACAAAAAACAATTAGAATACATATTTTATTGTTATGTTAATAAGAAAGTCATTGAATTATGCTTATTTTTAATATATTAAAAAGATGCTATAAGAATTGGACAGAACTGAACATTATTATGAATAATCAATAAAAGATATAACATAAATATTATATGTGATGGAACAGGGAACACAATTTTAAAATAAAATTAGATCATTCTTTTAAAATGTACGCTGAAAGCTATAAATTGCTGCGCCTCTTGTAGTTCCACTTCAGAAGTCGTTAATTCTTTCGTATCCTCATTACTTAATTACTTCTGTTTGTACAGTAGTATCTGGTCATGTTCTTCCGCCGTATATCACTGGAACTTTCTGCAAATGTCTTTGAACGTGGCAATCATTTTTTCAACGTCCGAAAACCCATTCTAGATGCAGTTTCGTTAACAAATGTATGTGGAGAAGAGAATTATTAAGTGTATGCATCAACTCATATCGCGTGGCAGCAGTAGCATCTGATGTAAATGTATGCGGGCTCCGGTTCGTTCATTAATGCATCACAATTAAATTATTCGAAATTATGGAATAATCACTTTAAATGCCATCAGTGTAAACGCAATAAAAAATGTAAATCAGTACTAATTAACGGCAATCATTCTACAACAACAACAACAACGACGACGACGACGTAATGCCTTTATCGCTGCTTCCGCCTCTGCAGGAAATGACCACGTTCTAAAATGATTACAAAGTGCTTTTTATTGCCCGATTAAAAGAGCGTTCGTGTTATTCAACTTGTACACATTTGTTGAAACGTGAAGAGATGTTTAATTTTCAATACGTCTGTTTCAAGCGTTTATATCCTACCCTGCATGACGTATTTTATGCATCCACACGTAATCAAATAAATCTGTTTATTACATAATATATTAATCATATTAATTCATAATTCGTATACTAATCAATTACATTATAAATCTATTTTTAAATTTTATTGGCTTATTACCATCTAATACTAGTTATCAACTCATTGCAATTAACTGCATACTTTCGTTCGCTAAAAAGCATCCTTAATTAGCATAACTTTATTAATAATCTAACATTTACCACGGCGCATTTAATATCTTAACGACCACGTTTATAAGCTTACATATTTTCTTTTCTTCTTCTTTCTTCTCTTTTTTTTTGATTTACGCTTCTGGATGATGAAGCGTAATATTATATTCTAATCTCGTCGATAAGTTATGCATACAAGTAGTCGTTTTTAATTTGAATTTTATTCAGTGGATAGTTTTATTTTTTTTTTGAGTTCAGCTGAAAATGTATGTTTAATACTTATTATAGGCTACTTGATTATGTACATAATAAATTCTATGCACCTACTGCTTCTCATCCACATTAATTGTCTTAATTTTCAATGCAAAAACATGGTCGTTATGATGCAACAAGAAAGTGTGAAACTGTTGCCCAACAGCCACTTAACAATGACTTAATAGGTTCAACTATTCAAATTGCTCAGCTCATATTCTGAATAAGAATTCCGTGCTAATGTCACAACGTAAAAACAACATTTTAATGCATTATTTCAATACACTGCAATTAGTTATGTCTTGATTTAATTTATTGTATTGTAAATTGGATGAATTGAAGAAATAACAGAATGTACGTTAATCGATTCAGAACTCTTAAACACATGTACGCTCATACGAACGTGCACTTTCAAAGAAGATACTAGTCAGTCTGACTTTGTACATCAAATGTACAAAGCATCAAATCTATCTGTTAATAGCATCAAAGAACGAAACCTATTTTATTTAGTTTATTTTATGACATGTGACAACTATTACAGTTCTCTGCGAATTTTTCTAATCTTATATTCTTTAGCAAAGAGTATATCCAATATTAGTCTACAAAGACTCTAACGCTACGTCAATTCTTTCATCCTAACTGATTACCATTTACATAAACATCCATATGTTTATTTATATTTGCAGACCAAGTCAACTAATTGCTTTGCTGTGCTCTTTTGTAGATCAAACTGTAAACAAAGATGAATTTATAAAGGAGTCATCAATTAAATTTCATGCAATATTTATATGGACGAATCTCTCCGCGAACGGTTGCATGTTTATCATTTGCGATTGCAAATTCAGTTGAAAAGAAAACGTTAAAATAAACAAACAATTACCATGGAACTGAGCGAATTCAAAGAAATTGTGCATTACGTAACGGTTTATTTTCACAGAGCGCATACAAATATAACGTAAGTAGTAAAAAAAAATAAATAAATTATATTATAATATTCCCATAAGTTCGCTCTTTCTTTCTTCCGTTCTTTCTTTCACAATTACAATGGCGATTAAGATCTAGTTATTTACGCAATGGCTTATGTTCATGAATGAACTGGTTATAAATAGTACGGGTATTAAAATCGTCCTTGCATTCTTACCATTGTAACATCGTACTTTTAAATAAAATTCTTATGCTTATTTTAATAGTAAAAAAAGTAGTTTCCATTTGTTCGCGAATAGAAAGATACGTTTACTATTATGTCTAAAAGAATCTATCCATTTTAATTCAATCAAATATTTAGAATAGTCAAACAAGTTTAATGATTCAATCTGAATATTAATAAATCTTAAATAATTTCAGTTTTTAGCAAGTAATACTTATAAATATTAATATTAAATATTTTTTTCATTCAAATTGTGGATATTATTTTAATGTGTTACGTTTTAGTTGCAACAGCGACTATTATTTGCATATTTAACAATTATAATTTAATTTATTCATAAAAAATGAACTGCATGCAATATATATTTTTACTTTATGTAATGGAATCTCATTCACTCCTTGCTTTTACTACATAGTTTAATTCAATATATAGAAATGGTTATATAACGAAGTTTATGCATAGAAAAATATACAAATACATGATTAATATAATCGTTGTTATCGAATGTGATATTTTCTATAATAAACTACGCGAAAAAGTATACCTTTCTAGCCTTTGAAGTGTGAAAAATATTGTTTACAATTTCAAATATCTTACATTCCCACTTGATTGATTATAATTTGCGGATTGCACCCGCCATGAAGACGACATCCAGGAAATCGACGCGGAGTGGAATGTCCTCTGCATTCGATAAAGAGGTCAACTGTCTCCACTAACTCGACCCAGTTTGGTACATTCCAAGAAGTACTTGTTACCAAAAGAGGATAACAACCACCAGCTTACTTTATTTCATAAAACTCATTAAAATTCTGATTCATAATATACCCATTTTTATGAATTTAAATTAAGATTACAATTTTATTATATCAAAAATGGAATATTGCCAATAAAGAATTCATAAAATTTCTGAAGATACAGAAATCTGAAGAATTGTAAAATTGTAAACGAAGATCAGATAAGAAATTCTGTAACTTTCGCCACAGAGGTTCGTAGATTTATGTAAGTTTCGCGGAACTGAAATTAGCATAAGAATGTTCATCTGAAATGAGAGAGGAGGCAGTTGCGTAAGACAAGCGGCGGCCGTGCTCCGTTGTTGTGTGTGTTCATCTTCTCATTTTGCTGCTTTTTTTTGGCTCTTCCTTTTTGGTATTGAAGATGTGCGAGGGGTAGGTGGAGTGTTGGAACTTCCCAGAGAGAGTGTGTGTGTGTGTGCAGTTATTTTTCGAAGCTGGTGAATTTATTGGCGCGAGCTGTGCCGTGCGCGCGAAACTGGCCTGAATGGATCCGCGCCGGCTTGATTGAAAAATCCGCGATTATGCAATATGCGAGGAAATAAGGTTCGGCGTCGATAATGAATGGGTGAGGTGAGAGGCGCGAGGCGGGGAATACGTGTGTGCGTGTCTGCCTCACTGCGTTTCTACATATATATGTGTATGTATATATATATACGTGTGTATGCATGTGTGTGTGTTTGCGGCAAAGAAAAGGTGGCTGTTCTTTTATTTCCTCCGCTTTTGGATCCGGTTTCCGGTTCGGTGGAGGTCCGTGGACGGAGGGAGCGAGCGAGCGCGCGTCCGTGTGTGTTTGTGTGTGCGTATACTTATGTGTGAGCGCGCTGTGGAAGAAAAGTGTTCCACTTCCGTTAGACTAGGTCGCGTAAATGTAAAATCTCATTCATGTTTTCTAATGTCCGTATATGTATAAAGGTTGATCCGGAGACATGAATGAATATATTGACGGCGGCGGCCGAGAGGTGGAGGGCACGGCGGAAGCTGCAAGGCGAGGTTTCGCGCACGCGCATCTCGCAGCCGCGGTCCTCGCACACCAACACACACACACACATGCATGCATCCTCGCACACACACACACACATACATACATACAAACAACCACATAATCATGCACACACACACATACCAACACACGCATGCATGCATATACATACATACACACGCGCTCAACTGGCCGACCGACTAAACAGATAGCTCTGGTCGTTGGCCATCACAAAACATCTGCCGTACGTTCCTCGACCGCCTGTGATTGTGATTTGAAATAATTGTGCTCGGTGTTGCAGTGTAGCAGTGCAGTGATTTACCCAGTGCACCATCGGGCCCAGTGTCCACGCGAACGGACAACACTTCTGTGCGTAGGGGGACATACATTTCGTTTTTACGACCAACAACTGCAAACACACACACGCACACGATCGTACATATTTATATACATATACTAAAGCACATGCATACATCTATAGATTCACACACATAAACATCCATACGAAACACACATTTTGTAACGCCGCAACCATTAATACGAGAGTGCTGTAACAGCAACAGGCTTTCCTCGCTCATCACACGTACAGCCGCGCATTCTGCGCCCGCACTAATTTCCATCCCCTGTGCATGCCCGTCCCAACGCTACCTCTTCTGCATCTTCCTTCCTCACACACAAACCGACCGAAAATCGTTCGCCGTCTGCACCGTCCCCCCACCACCATCGTCGTCGTCGTCCCATCGGTCACTGCCAACAAAAGAAAAACATACGCACACATGCATACAGCAGCCAGTGATTACAACTGACGAAAAAGTACATATATATATCAAATGCAAATATTTACGTCAAAATAAATAGATTTCAACGACTTTTGGGACACGCCGAACGACCAATCGGAATCCTCTGATCACCGATCGTCGCGCGAACTACGACACAGAGGTGAGTTACGACCACCCCTTTCTCTGTTCCCCTGCATTGCCATTGGTCAGCACTCTCCTCCTGTGTGTTTTTTTTTGTTTTTGTTTTTCAATTCCTATTCGATACACGAGATTCTGATCAATGCTTTCGCAATATTCAAATTCTATATTATAAATTGTCTGAGATCGGACAGCAGCATATTTGTTTAAACAAACTATATGCAAATACAATGTAAATGTGTTTATACTATTTGAATATTAATTCAATTGGTGGTCTGTCTAGTAGGAGATTCAAAAAAAATAACAATAACAAATAAAGGTCAGTTAAGGTAGAAACAGGGTAAACATTTGTAGTGCATTATCAGAATATGTATACATTGATGAGTCATTAATTAAATATTATTGGACATTAGTACTTTGGTCGAAACACATACAATATTGTTATGTAACCATTACATTTTGCCTTACATATAATACTTGATTAAGATTATATGCTAATAGAAGCAATACATTTCTTTAAGAAAAACAGTATTCATTATTTGCTTGAATATTTGTATTGTTGAATCATTTTAAGCCTTTAAAGTTTAAACTCTAAGAAACTAAAACATAATTAAATTTTTCATTAATTTTCCAAAAAATTTAATTAAATTAGTTAACTCGTGACTTTTTCCACGTTAAACGTGTTTTTTTTTGTCTTGTGATTCGTTTTTTTTTAATGTTTTGTTTTCCAATGTTCTTTGAATAAAATCTGAATATTTCATTGTAGTAGTAAGTAAATGATGAATATAAATAAAAACATTTATTTATAATTGCAACTGTTTTAACTTATTTACCTATATAAATATTTATACTGTGCGATGTAATATTTCTCATTAAACTTGATTAATAAAATATATTTGTCTTGAATCAATGAATTTGCATATTTTTTTTTTCTAAATTATCTAACATTCAATATGTACACCTACGTAAATCCTTTTTATAGTCCAACAGTAAGTTTTAATTAGTTCTTATTAACGCTTATACAATCCTTACCATGCATTATATCTTTCTCTCTCTCTCTGAACAAGTTGAACCGGTTTCATTTGCTACTGTGTATTGTATTCTCGTTATTTGATTATAATAATTAATTTTTGCTTTGAGTGAAAAGATTCTGTTATATTTATCATTAAATTGATTCCTATTTCACTTGAAAATGAAATTTACTATATGCATTATTAAGTTAGATGTGAAATTATTCGCGTGACTATAGGACAATACATTGCCTCTATCTGGAGCATGTACTAACATAAACGAAACTTGTAAATAAGGTAAAAATATGATAATTACAATAGTTCCTTCCTTTCAAATAGCATTCGCCTTTTCACGATGTTGAATGAGTTACAGCACATCACCAAACGTTAATTGATGAAGAAAACTACAAACTAGTTCGCGATGAGTTAATAGCGGAGTCGAAGTGGTTCGAACGTGAAATGATTTGAAGTATTTTAATGTTCGGAATAGTGTGGAGTCATTGATTTTTTGGGGAAATGAAGAGTGGCGATCCGAGAGGACGATCGTCTGTCGGTGAGGCAATTATATACATCGGAGGATTCTCTCTAGATTGGGTAGCCTTGAGGTTCGAGGTTTTATGGGGCAGTTTATTGGACACAATGAGCACATTATAACATATTAGCTATATTCATTCAATATATATGTATTTGTGTGTGTGTTTATATGTATGCGTGTGTATGTATTTTTTCTTCGGCTCTACACATAAGTGTAGTTCATTCACCCTGCAAGAGCGCTCTGCTTCTCTCCTATGTGCTTGTGTGTGTCTGTATGTGTGCGAGATGTAGATTGCCTATGGCTAGAAGTATTAAATATACTGCTTCCGTTCGATGCGAAAGGGGACTTTTTCAAACACGTTTTTCTCTGCCGTTGCTGCTGCTGCTTCTGCTGCTGCCGCCGTTGCTGCGTTTCGAGATTCTTTTTCCTCTTTTTCTTTTTCTTCTTCCTCCTCTTTTTTAGACATATATTTAGATTTCTGAATGTGCATGCATGTGTATGTGGGTATATGTATGTATGTGCCGAAGATTTCATTGCGGCTTTTTCAGTCCAAACACAGACAATCGTTAAATTGCGCGTTATTGTTTTACGTGGGTGGCTCGGGCACTTTATGGGACACGCGCTATATTGGGTGTCATCAAGGCTGAATACCTGCATGTCTTAAAATGCCAAAGAGACCGCTTTCCAAAACCGCCTCAAACGGAAACAACTCTCCTCTTTTGCATTCTCTTTGCCTTTATTTTTCCTTTTCGTTGCTTTGTATCAGCAGAGCCAGCAATCGGCCGATCCAAACATGGAACGAAATTAGCTACCGGATTTGGGATTCGTCTATGTTTGATGCGTCCGTCCGTATGTACAAGTGGATGTGACGCAACGGAGAAGCGAGGCAGTGCAGTCGGGAGGCATAAAAATATTGGTTGGTGTGGTCGGCGAGGCAAGTCTTCTAATTTTAGACGTTATTTTCCAGTCATCTCGCCGTTTAGTTCGAAACGATCGCGGAAAATAAATGTAAACATGACGGTGGGTTAGCACGTGGTTTGGTACCCCTGGCCAAAGCGGAGGCGGCTTTTTGGCTCGACGATGAAAAGAAGAAAAAAATACGTCCCAAGGAATATCCACATTCAAACATACACACACAGACACACGCGCGCGCCCGTTTCGATTCTCCCATTGCCAGCCAAACATTCTCATTCTATGTGCCCGCCTGGTCATTCAAACCTATTTCATTCACTCGAACTGTGATCAACGTCTCATCTCCAAATAGATTCACGTTCGTTCACCCTGACCATTAAAAAATCTTCATCCGCAAGAAAAGAAAAGGGTACATCTGCGATCTTTTCCTTCTTGAAAACGTATGTGTTTCAATATCTGAATCTAAATTACGAGCGTGATGATGTTACATATATATATATTGAAAGAAGAAAAAAAGAAAAACTAAAATCAGGTCTTTTATACCGTATACAGCTATTAGCCTCGACATCATTAATGGTAAATATATGGAAATTTGTAGATTATATTTATTATTGGGTGTTTTATGTTGATACCTGAGACTATCTCCTACCATCAAGTAGCAGCGTTTTTCTGGAACTATTAAATGGAACAGTTCATTAAGGACTTACAAAAATGGTTTATATATTTGGTTAACTTGTATATTTCATACAAAATATACATGATATGCAAAAAATTTTGCATAGATGACCTTTTGAAACATTGTAAAATAGTACTTTAATACAGTGATAGATGATAGTATGATATCACTCATTTCATTAAAGATACATTTCATTGATTACATTTACAGAAAATATAATTAAATATGAATATTGAATTATTTTATATTGACTATAGTAGATCTTTCTGAAGTTTTAATAAATTATTATTTATAATAAATTAATAATATTAAACCGAAAACCTTGATGAAGTGCGTCACAAATTCGACATTACGCAAATTCTGACCTGTATTAATTATGCTAATTAATAATTATATTATTTAATTAGATTATGTTAATTGTAATTTATATTAAACTGCTAATTTTATAATTGATCATTTAAGAAATACGTCAATACATTAAAATATATTCAAATACTTAGTAAAAAATACGTGTTATTATTATTTTCAACGAAATTTTGTATTAAAATTTGATGAAATTAGTAAACAATATTAAAGGTTATTGTTGGTATACATATCTAATTTTATTCCATTCCATATTTATTTTCGACATTCCAGATACTCGTGCTTAATTTATTTCACAGTTGAGATTTACATTTTGCTAATTAGGTTTCACATCGTCGAAAACAAAAACAAAATTTTGAAACAACATCTTCTAAAATTTTATAAAATAAACATAGATTAACAGTTTGAATAATATTTTACAGTTACAATGTTTTATATGTTAACAATCGTTGTTTTCACTAAAATTACCAAGAGAAACTTTAGATCTTTCATCTTAGCAAATTTGTTGACTTCTTGCCTCAACTACCAGATATTTTACTTTGCTAATTTTGGACAAACATATTTTATACCTTGACACTACTAATAATCCTTGTAATAAAAGAAAATATAGATATTTTCTGTAGTTATATTTCAATCATTGTTAAGTGAAATAAGTGAATAGTAGAAAATAAACAGTATGTAAAATGAATATGATTAGTGAATTAAAGTAATTAAATCTTTAATTTTGTTGTGTAGATTAAATTAATTTCATTGATGGTGCGGGAAATGTACGACAGGTCAAAGATGTAACTAATTTATTCAAATATGGTAGCTAGATATAATAATTTCCAATTAGAGGTAATTTATAACTAGACCACGTCTCTATATATAGCCCGAGAATTTAATTTGAACGTAGAGGCAGCAGCAGCAGTAACAGCAAAAAAAGAGGAACAACTGAGTTTTAATACTATTTTCAAAGAGCAACCAACATAAACATACTACTTACATCAATTAGTCATTTGAGGCCGCGGGAGACCCAGTGCAGCCATTCCGTTTGTTGGAGAAACATTAAAGCAATTATCCGTGCGCGCTCACAACTATTGCAATTAAACAGAATGATGAATTCGTGATGCTGCGCTACGCTCTGAGCGGAAGAAATGTCGAGAAAAGCTCTGATTTATTGACTTCGCGCGCTTTGTAAATGGAAATTCTCTCGTTCAACGATTGTGGTTGGTTAGAAAAAGAGATACAGGAAGATGGATGGAAAAAAGTATAGTGTGTGTGTGAGAGAGAGAGATAAAATGAAAAAAAAAACAACGAATATTGCATCACTAAATAATAATAATAAAATCATTATAAAATGCTTTTGGCTTCTATCGCTCTCGTTCTATCTGCTATGGGAAGACAGATTTCTGGATGTCTGTTTCCTCTTCTCGTAGTCTCGTTATCTCTTGGCAGCCGTAAAAACGGCCTTTATCAATTCCCATCTTTATCTCACTTTAATATATGTTAAATATATATAAAATAAACACAAACGCCAACAGCCA